TGGCCCGTCTAACTGCCTCCCTACAAGCACGAGCAGAGGAGGTATATTCGTCTTTGGTGATCTCTCCCTGTTTCCACTTTTTATGTGCTCCCTTTTGGCCCTTAGGCTGCCCTGGATTTCTGCGGTCAGCCAGGGAAGCCTCCTGGCCCCTTTCCCTCTTTTACCTCGCACGGGGATCGTCTTGCTTTGTGCCCGAAGGATCGTTTCCTTAAGGCACAGCCACCCTTCTTGGGCTCCCATCACTTCAAAACTCCTACTCTGCAGTGCGTCCTTGACTAATCGCCTGAGTTCATTGAGATCAGCTTTCCTAAAGTCTAGCACTTTCACCCTACTACTTACCTTACCCACTCGACGTTTTATAAAGAATTCTATTATTAGGTGATCACTGTCCCCCAGATGGCTACCGATCTGTAGGTCCCCTACCATGTATCCCCCATTGCCAATACCAGATCCAGTAAGGCATTCCCCCTAGAGGGACCTTGTACCTCCTGTGTCAGGTGGAGGTCCTGTACACAGGTTAGAAACCTGCGTGAGCGGTGGGACTTTGCTGTCTGTGACTCCCAGCAGATGTCCGGGTAGTTTAGGTCCCCCATGACTACTGCCTCTTTAGCTTTTATGGTCTCTGAGAGTTGCCTCAGGAGCCCCAAATCTATTTCTTCCCCTTGATGTGGGGGTCTGTAGCAGACCCCTACCACCAAATCCCTTTCTCCTTGCCCCCCATGTAGCCTAACCCACAATCCTTCTACTTCCTCATCCTTGGATTCCATCTTGATGAGGGTTGATGTATATTGCTCATTGACATAGAGCGCAACCCCTCCCCCTTTTTTCCCCACCCTGTCCTTTCTGTACAATCTATAGCCCTCAATATGTATTTCCCAGTCGTGGGATGAATCCCACCAGGTTTCCGTTAGCCGTACTAAGTTGTAGGTGTTTAGTGCAAGCAGGAGCGCTAGTTCATCCTGCTTGTTCCCCATGCTCCTAGCATTAGTATATAGGCACTTGAGCCCTTTCATTAAGAAATCTGAACTTGCTACCAAGACCCCACACATTTCAGTGGATCGGCAACATGAGATTTTTTAATCAAAAGCTCCTAGAGGCTGCACATCTTAAACCAAATTGTCCTTCCACTCCCATATTGATAGTTCTTCCTCATAAATTGATGGTTTTGAAGAAAACACATGTATTGAGAAATAAGATATGTTTAGCAAAAGACATTTTAATAAGAAAGATCTTTCTAGACTTAAATTCTAAGCCCCACGGCAGAGATTCAGTATTACCCAGCAACACCAGGATTACAATCCCACCTCAGTCATTGCATCCAGATTTTCTTGTTTTCCAGAGAATGCCTGGAGGAGGGAGAAGTCAGTAAGCCCCACAGTTGATCCCCCTGAAAATGTCTTTTACATATCTGAGTGGTTCTCAAATTAGGGTCAGAGGACCCAACAAAGTTAGATGAGGAAATGCATAATGAGAAGCATCCTGAGCCGAAAAGAGATTCAGGTTCTTGTACCCAAATGACAAAGATCAATGACACAAAGTGGAGATAACAGAAGGATGGTATTGGCCTATCATGGCATAGAGATGACCATCCAGATGCGGATGGGGACTATGTATATCAGCTAATAGCCACATGGCAGGGAGAACTCAGTATAGATTCATTTCAGACAAGGTGATGCTTAGGATGCTGTCTATGCTTATGCTGTATATAACAGGGAAGAGGGAAGTGGAGTGGGCTAGCATTGTATTTACCTGTGTCTTATTGTAGTCACAAGTGCTGTGCTCAGTGTACCTGATCTTGATGTGCCCTTGAAGTTTGCTGAGCTTCTTGCTTTTCCTGTTTTTGTACCTGATTTTTAAAAGCAACATGCCACACTTTGGTCTGCCAACTTGATGAAGGGAGATGGTTTCATAGTGAGAACTGAAATGAGGAGAATGAGAGTATGAAGATATTAAAAAGCAAACCCTCTGAGATACTGCATAACCAATATTCATAAATATAAACACTGTTTTGTTCTGATATAGTCTCTCTTCAGTGGTTTGGTTATATACACATTCACACACACATATATACATACATAAACACACCCCCCCCCCACCACCACACACCCCCCCCCCCCCCCCATACACATATACACACACACACACATATATATACATAGACACATATATACACACACATACACGCACATATAGACATACATATATACATATACACACACATATACATATACATATATACACACACAAACACCACCCCCCCCCCGCATAGAAAAAGACTTTTGTGGAATTTCTTTTGACTCAAAAAACCATATTCCCAGCAAGAATATTTTCCACACTGACAATTTTACAGGGCTTAAAGATAGACAGTATTGACAGCTTGCTCATGAGCTGGTTCTGACATGAGATTCCCTCCTGTTATATTTATAACTCTGATTCTGGCCACTATCCTTGTCCTTCCTTCACAGGCTTTGCACAATGCACTGGAAATGTCCAACCAAACGACTGTTACTGAGTTCCTCCTTCTGGACTTTTCTGATATTCAGGAGCTCCAGGTCTTATACTTTCTTATCTTTCTAGCAGCATACTTCGCAGCCCTGATGGGGAATCTCCTCATCATCGTGATTGTAACTCTAAACTATGAACTTTATTCCCCCATGTACTTTTTCTTGATTAATTAGTCCATCATGGACCTTGGCTCTATCTCAGCAACCGTGCCCAAATCCATGTCCAATTCCCTATTGAACACCAGGTCTATCTCCTACTCTGGATGTGTTGCCCAAGTGTTTTGTCTCATCTGTTTGTTGGTAGCAAATTTATCCCTTCTCATGGTTATGGCATATGACCGGTACATTGCCATGTGCAAGCCACTGCATTATGAGATAATTATGAACAAGAGAGCTTGTGTCCAGATGGCTGCCTGTGCTTGGACTGCTGGTGTCATCAACTCTGCAATGCACACTGGGAACACCTTTAGTCTCCCCTTCTGCCACTCAAATATAATCAACCAGTTCTTCTGTGAAGTGCCCCAGCTACTCAAGCTCTCCTGCTCTGACACATACCTCAGAGAGCTGACAGCTCTTGCCTTCTGTGCGTGTTTAGCTCTAGGCTGTTTTGTTTTCATCGTTGTGTCGTATGTTCAGATCTTCACCGCAGTGTGGAGGATCCCCTCTGAGCAGGGCCATCAGAAAGTCTTCTCCACCTGTGTTCCTCACCTTATTGTGGTCTCCCTGTTTCTTTCCACTGCTGTCATTGCCAACATGAAGCCCATTCATGACTCCCCATCCCCTCTGGATCTCCTGGCAGCTGTTCTGTATTCTGTGACGCCTCCACTGATGAATCCAGTCATCTACAGCATGAGGAACAAGGAGATCTAAGCTGCCCTGAGGAAACTGCTACAAAGGTTTTGAGTAATCTACACCAGAAATAATAGGTCCATCATTATTTCATGACTTTAGTTATGTATATATATTTTGTGACAAATTGCTTTCATACAATCATATGAAACCTGCTTATAAAAATGAAGGTGGTGGGCTAAATTTTATAGCATGGCAATGATTCTTTACGCAGATCGTTTTGCATTAACATCGTTGAAGTGGAAAAGTAGTATTTCATGCATCCAAGTTTCTTTGTCCCACCTAAAATAAATCCCACCAATTGCAAGGTCATAGAATGAAAGAAAGTCATAGGAATTAGTATTGGAAGGGACCTCTAGGGGGACAATGGTTTGCCGGTCTGCGGATACTTCTGATCTGGCAGCCACAGCCCAGCGATTGAGAACCCCTGATCTAGTCAAAGGCCCAATAATATGAAAAATTTTAGAATTGATTTTACTAGTTGATATAATTAATTATTTGGATGACAGAATATACAGGTAAATATCCTGCTGAGGTGAAATGGGATAAACTACAAACACTTTATAGGATAAGCATAGATATAGATAGATTGCAAAAATGGGATAAAAACAATACGGTGAGTTGTCAAGAAATAAGTGCAAGGTGCTGAAACTAGGACAGAAACATCAGAAGCCAAAATACAGGTTGGGTTATAAATGGCTGGCTGGCAGCACTGTTGAACAGGATCCAGGGAGTCTGGTGGACTACAGAATCAACCTGAGGCAGCAAGTCGATGTAGCTGATGTAGCTGCAGAAAACTGAATGCAGCTTGGGGCTGCCACAACAGAGGTATTAGATTAAAACATGGGAGGTGGTGGTGGCCAGTCTACATGTTGCTGGTTAGGTTTCATCTAAACTATTTTGTGAAGTTCTGGGCTTCATATTTTAAGAAGGAATATGGAGAAATTAGAGAAGTTCAGAGAGAGGTGACAAGAATGCTAAAGGGCTGGAAGGTGAGTCATGCAGGGAGAGGTTAAGTGAACTAGGCATATTAGCTTGCAGAAAAGGCAATTAAGGGGTAAATCATAACAGTCTTCAAATATCTGAAAACCAGCCATGAAGAAGAGGGTGAACAACTAGTCTCCTTTGCTGCATAGGGAAGGATATCAAACTTCAGCTTATAGAAAGTAGATATAGATTAAACTTTGGTTAAAAAAACACCCTTGTTTTTAGAATAGTGAGGAAGTGGAATAGACTTCCCGGGGAAGTTGTGGTGTCTCCGTCATTGGAGGTTTTCAAAAAGAGGCTGGATAGGCACTCATCAGGGATGGTTTAGGAGTGCCATTCCTGCATTTGTACAGGGGGTTAGACCACAAAACCCTTGAGGCCCCTTCTAAACCTTTGAATTTATTCTTTTAATATAATGAAAGCTTTGTCTGTCTGTCTGTCTCTCTGTCCGTAAAGCTTTTGCCCTACTGTGCATGTGCCAATCGGCTGGATGGACTGGGTGACCAGGGGCAGGGCCAGCTGAGTTAAAACAGGAGCCCATTTGCTGGGCCACCTTCTCCTGCAGCCTCTGGTGTGGTGGCTCCCTCTACTCCACCTCCACAGAGGCAATTAAAAAAAAAAAAAGTCTTTCTGGTGCATTTAACTAAAAATCCTTGGACATAGTTTAGTTTGACTCACCACAAATAGAAGTGTTGTGTCCATGCATTCAAACAAAAAGGCCTTCAAACACATGTAATAAGCATCGATGTCCACCAGATGGTGCTGTGACTTCTTCGAACTGTTTCATAGATTTCATAGACATCAGGGCTGGAAGGGACCTCGGAAGATCATCGAGTCCAGCCCCCCGACCAAAGGGCAGGAAATCAGCTGGGGTCATAGGATCCCAGCAAGATAAGCATCCAGTTTCATCTTGAAGGTGTTCAATGAAGGCGCTTGAACCACCTCCGGTGGCAGGCTGTTCCAGACCTTGGGGGCTCGGACAGTAAAGAAGTTCTTCCTTATGTCCAGCCTGAAATGATCTTGAAGTAGTTTGTGACCATTCGACCTCGTCATCCCTTGGGGCGCTCTGGTGAACAAATGTTCCCCCAGATGCTGGTGGTCACCCCTGATAAACTTGTAGGTGGCCATCAGATCACCCCTGAGCCTGCGCTTTTTCAGGCTAAAGAGCCCCAGGGCTCTCAGCCTGTCATCGTAGGGTCTGCTTCCCTGACCTCTGATCATGCACGTGGCTCTTCTCTGGACTCTCTCAAGCTTCTCCACATCCTTTTTGAATTGTGGAGCCCAAAACTGGAAGCA